TATGAGCGAATTCGAGGTGAGCTATCCATTTCATTCTGGAATTTTTCAATAAAATTAATGCGACTTGAGACGTTCTTTGTTTATTTTAAAGCTTTTAACAAAATTTAGGTTAAAGTCTACTTTTCCGATGAATCTTCAATGGGTGAATTGTCCCGAAATGGACTTTCATCGATCGATCGAAAACCGAACTCGTCAAAACTGAAATTTCAATTAAAATTCTAGAGATTCTAGAAAATCTGTGCATTTATCACATTTACTAATACATTTTCTAATCTCTAATCTCAATCTCTTACTATTCTTTTGGATCCTCGATGTATGTGGGAATGAATTCTTTGTTCATCGCTGAGAATGGTTTCCCGGAGAGAGAGAAATGCGAATAGTGAATCGGTTGATCGATCTAGAAATAGAGAAAAGTTCAGAGATTCTATATAAAGCTTATAAAGCTAATAAAACTAATAAAGCTAATAAAGCTAATAAAGCTTATAAAGCTAATAAAGCTTATAAAGCTTATAAAGCTAATAAAGCTTATAAAGCTAATAAAGCTAATAAAGCTAATAAAGCTAATAAAGCTTATAAAGCTAGTAAAGCTAGTAAAGCTTATAAAGCTAATAAAGCTAATAAAGCTTATAAATATCTATGTAAAATAACTTTCTATAACAAAAACATAACAAAAACAACATAAATCATAACAAAACAAAGAATTCTAAGAAAGAACCAAATTCTTAACAATAAGACTCTCCTCATTCTAAAGAAAACGATCGTCTTTTTGTCTTTTTAAAAGTGATAACTTGTAATATTTTAATATTCAAATGTTTAAACTTAAATATTTTCAAATTCTGAATGCAATCTCACCTCTTTCGTTGTATCACAGATCTTTCTCGCAATCGGCGGTCCATCTTCTTCCTCTTCATCATCCACTACAGTCTCAGCGTTTTTTGCATCCTTTCCTAAATCTCTTTCTTAACCTCTTTCTAAAATCCTTTCCTATATCCTTGCCTATATCTTTGCCTATCTCCTTTCCTATCTCCTTTCCTATCTCCTTTCCTAAATCGTTTCCTATATAGTTTCCTATATCCTTTCTTATATCGTTTTCTATATCATTTCCTATATCCTTCCCTATATCCTTTCCTATATCGTTTCCTATATCGTTTCTTATATCCTTTCCTATATCCTTTCCTATATTCTTTCCTATATTCTTTCCTATATCCTTGCCTATATCCTTTCCTATATCATTTCCTATCTCCTTTCCTATATCATTTTCTATATCCTTTCCTATATCCTTTCTTATATCCTTTCTTATATCCTTTTCTATATCTTTTCCTATATCTTTTCCTATATCCTTTCCTATATCGTTTCCTATATCGTTTCCTATATCGTTTCTTATATCCTTCCCTATATCATTTCCTATGTTCTTCCCTATATCCTTTCCTATATCGTTTCCTATATCCTTTCTTATATCTTTTCTATATCCTTCCCTGCATCATTTCCTATATCATTTCCTATATCATTTTCTACACTACTGGACAATGAAATATCATATTTGAAAAAAGATCGTCACTTTCGCGCGTCTGTAACTCCCTTGTCTTTACCGTATTTCTAAATATTAATATTACCATTGTGTAGCCCTTGAAAAGAGCTTTCAGAAAATGTATAACACTAATAGTTTAAACTCAAAGACAAAGGAGTTACAGACGCGCGAAAGTGACGATCGTTTTTCAAATATGATATTTCATTGTCCAGCACTGTATATCCTTCCCTATATCCTTCCCTAAATCTCTTTCTTAGTTCTTATTTCATTATTTCACAAACCTTTTTTGTATTTTGCCATGAAATACGTGAAAAGAGAGCCTGAAAAGCAAACAGAGACAATCATAGAATCATAGAAAAAAGAAAAAACCAAAAAGACTGTTTCCTTCTCTTATCAAAACGCGTTTCTATTTGGGAATTTCTCGCGAATAAGCTCATTTCAGAAGAATTCTCATAAAAATCGGCGTTTCCTAAAGTTCTTGAGAGTTTTAAGTGAACAAATACAATTTTTTTCATGATGTAAAAGCAGTACAAAGCTAAACGGAATCGGAAAACCTGAACTGAACAAACTGATGACTTTGTGTGTACGAAAATGAAGGTGTGAGAGAGGAAAGAGTGACGTGGATTTGTCCGTTCTCTGCCCAGAAAAGGATATCGAGAAAAGGATCCACTGAGGCCCTTTTCCTCAATGCCCTGGCCCTATAGGGGAAAACCGCGACGCGCCTCACGATAAGCAATGCGGTTTTCTTTGCCTTTTCCCTTCTCTCTTTCGAATTTCTCTTCCAGAATTCCCCTTTTCTCTTCTTGGAAGACGAAAGCTTATGCAGGAATCTTTCAAGCACGCAAGCAAGCACTGCTCTGAATGCAACAAAGGAAAAAGATAAAATTTAGTAATTACATTACAGACAAAACCCAAAAAACCCACAAATTCACAATCGTAAACCAAAATCAATAAAATCGATCAATAGCTATGAGAGCTATGAGAGAAAATCTCCGAGAAACCCTATGTAATTTAAGTACCCAGTGAGTTTAAGCCATCGTTTGACCATTGAAATCAATCTGGATTGATCCGAATGATTCGAAATTACTAATCTAATTTCTTTATAGAGGTTTTTATAGATTTTTATGAGAAACCCGTTTTCACTCTCGAATTTGCTTGAAAGTGAACCCAAATTGACTTAAAAAGATGGGAAATTGAACAATAAACACTTTTCATTTAGAGCAAACCATAGGTTAATTGATGACTTTGTTATTTTTCAAAAGAAGTACGAAAAAAATGAAAAAGACTTTTGCATCAACCTAATAGAAGAGGAGAATATCACACGATAAATATCACAAGAGCTGCACCACCAGATTGCTCGATCATAGCCAAAAAGAAAATCAAATGACTGGTGGATAATTAAAATGTTTTTCTGCGAATTACTTTTGTACCCTGTCTCTTTTGAATAACCTTTCCAGGGAATAGCAAATTAATTTTCAGCTAAGAATCGGCTATTCGAATTTAGAAGAGTTTTCTTCAAAGTATTTAGATCTCGATCTCTAGATCTTTTGCTTTTGCAATTGCTTTATTTTATCGAATTCTTCTATTCTCATTCATTGTTTGCTTAAATGGAGGTGAGTTACTGAAATCTTTCTTTAAACCAGTAATTTTGCCAATCTGTTTCTTTAAAGCTATTTTGTAGGTCGATTTGTACCTGTGATTTGTACCCAGCTCACCCGATCTTAACCCATTGAATTACTCAGTGTTCTTGTGTTCTTGAAGCCAGGGCATGTGCAAAACCACATAAAAATAACCGCTGACCACAGCAAAAGAGGATCGAATATTTGTGATGGCTTCCAAGAAGGATCCGAACATGACATCAACTGAGGGAGCTCGGCTGATCAAGGATGTTGCAAAAACAAGGATATCTCTCGATGGACCGTTTCTCGACGATTGACGCAAGCAGAACTGTATAGCCGGAGGGCTGTACGAAAGCCTTTGATGACCGCTGGCCACAGGAAATAACGGCTTCTATTCGCCAGGACGTGCCAAGGTTGGATAAAGTAGAATTGAGCCAACGTGATTTTTATCGATGAAACAAAAATGGATATTTTTTCTCCAAAAGGCAACCACTTGATCAGACGATCCATTGGGAAGCAAATACTTCTTAAATATGTGCGACCTACAATGCGAGCTGGCGGAGGATCAATCATGTGTTTTGGTAAGCCATATTTCTAATATATGCATTAATTTGTCTTTTTCTAGGGACGATGGCAAAAAATGTGGCAGATCCGCTCGTCCTCGTCCAGTCAACCATGAATGCTTGCCAGTATGAAATACTAAAAGGATGTCTACTTCCATTTGCTCAGGATTATATGGCTCAGGATTACATGGCTCAGGATTACATGACTCCTGGATGGATTCTCTACCAGAACAATTCGCCGGTTCACAAGAGCAAGCTCATGATGGGTCACACGGTGAATCTCTCAAATGGAGGAAAAACCTGGATGGTTTGTGTTCATCTCCCTGGATGGTTTCCCCTTCAGAATGTTTTGTTGGTCAATGTGCCCCCTATGTCACCTGATTTAAACGTTATTGAGAATTTATGGACTTACGTGAAGACAAAGTTACGCGGAAAAGCGTTAAGTTGCGTAGTTTTTGCCTTTTACCCCAAATTTGACGTGTCAGCGAGGTGTGATTTGTCGAAATTCGGAATCTACGCATACGATTCCCTTCTATGAAAACATTTTTGAAGCTCTACGACCTTTCCTAAGGCCTTTTCCAGCTAAAAAAAGGTGCGCAAATGTCCAGGTGCGCAAGATTAGATTTGGGCTAAAAAAAGAGCCTACTCGATTTGTTGATAACAAAATTTCGAAAAAAGTGTTCTTGGTGATGTGCGGATATTGTAAAATTGAATTCTAGAAGATTTTATTAGAGAAGCCGGCAAGGATTAAGAATTTTCCCGAAGAGGACCATTCGAGTAAGCTTCTTTGCTTTGTGATACATCAGGTGGGATCTGATTTCGACTCGTTTTTGTCGCCGTCTCTCCAGTAGAGTAACGATTTGTTTCCTGTAACGATTCCTGTAAGTATTCAATTATAAAATTCTAGATTTACTCATAAATTTAGATACTAGCGAACTTTTTATTTAAGCTAAAAGTGGTTGTTAAGATCAGTTTCACAAAATTTACGGTCTTCCTTGATTTAAATCTGAATTCTCATCAATTCTCACCTCAATTGCAAGTGCTAAAGTTTGACCTGTGCTTTCTATGCAGTGCATAAGTTTATTGGATTTAAAAATCAAGTTTATTATCTATTTATTAGGTTTGTAAAAAGGAAATGAGCGTCGTGTTTGTTGATTTTTATTTTATTCACAGTAAAAGATTTTTTAAAAATAGTTTATTCTATTGGAAAGAGCGTGTTCTTGCGCATCGTTTGATATATAATTTGTTTATGTTTACTTTATTTTTTTTACAAGAAAGAGTGTTTAGTAAATGTCGGACCAAAAATTTCGCTTGCGGACCTGCTTGTGGTATGAATTTAAGCAAGGCAAATCGGCTGCTGAAGCTCATCGCGCTCTATCTCAAGTGTTTGACGAAGATGCTCTATCCGAAAGTCAGTGTAAACGATGGTTCCAGCGCTTCCGAGACGGCGACGAAAGCTTGGAAGACCAAAAACACGGGAGTCGACCTCAAATCATCGACAACGACGCATTGAAGGAAGCCATTGAGTCGGATCCACGCCAAACCACTCGCGACCTGGCAGAACAGTTCGGCTGCACTCATGTCACCATTGTGAACCATCTGCATGGCATGGGCAAGACGAATAGATGCGGAAAATGGGTACCGCATAAGCTATCCGACGCAAACAAGGCGACACGCATCGCAATCGCCGGAAAATTGAAGAAATGGGCTGGGAAGTTCTGCCTCATCCGCCATACAGCCCAGACTTGATGCCTTCCGACTACCATCTGTTCCGATCAATGCACCACTCCTTGGCCGAGAAAAAGTTCAAGAACCGCGACGAGGTCCAAATTTGGGTGTCCAACTTCTTCGAGTCGCAGCCGGTCGAGTTCTTCAAGAAGGGCATCCATTCTCTGCGTGAACGTTGGCGACGAGTCATTGATGCAGATGGCGAATACCTTTTGGATTAATGTATTGTTATCTTGTTTTTATAATAAAATAAACTTTTAACGAAAATGCGCATTTCTTTTTTACCAACCTAATAGCTTTATAAAGAGATTCTATAGGCTAAGTTTATCACAAAGAACGAACTTGCGTCCAAAAACCGCTCACTTTATGTCGACCGCAACAAAGAAGACGAGCAATTGGCCTCCTGGAAATGTTTAGTCTTTTTCTCAATTTCTTTATCAAGCCTGTAACATGTGATGAAGTAAATAATGACAATCGGCTCAATGATTGGATCGAACATCACCATGATAGTGATAATCTCAGTATCCCAGCCATCTACACCGAGCAACGCTGCGAGAAAGAAGATAGAAATGGGAAAATAAATAGTTGCAAGTGGGACAAGTAACTGAAATTCTATCGGTGGATCTTATAGTAAGTTTAATTTCATTAACAAACAAATAGTTCATATCAAAACGCTTGAAATGGTTCACCTGAAAGATCAATGCTTTAAAAAGCTCTTTCTGCATATTTCTCGTCTTTGTGCTTTTACCTTCCTCTTGTAAACTCTAAATAAAATAAACCATTGTTGCCAAAGTAATAGGACATACCTTTTTCAATGCCCAACCACAATAAACAATGAAACTTGAAGTGACGGACATAATCAAGCAATAAACAAGCATTCCAATGTATGATCGAAGAATCACGTAAAGCGAAACTCCCTCAAACGCTTGGGTAATTGAACCGGTTCCAATGACATCTCTGCCAGTAAGGTTTCTGAAAATATTACCGTATTTACTCGATTATAAGACCGTCACGAATAGAAGACGGAATCTAGGGAGAGATTGGAAAAATAGAAGACTGGTCTTCTATTCGAGTAAACTGTAATTGACTCGTGCCTAGCCTATCCTGCCTGGTCCAATGGTTCCGTCTGGCTTAGCCTAGCTCTAGATTTTCTCGAGCTGATCAAGTCTTGGTAGGTTCTGGTCTGGTTCTGGTCTGGTTCTGGTCTGGTTCTGGTCTGGTTCTGGTCTGGTCTAACCCAGGTCTAGCCTCATCAGACTCTGGTCCGACCTAGCCCAAGTCTGGAGGTCTTTGTCTGGTCTAGATCAGGTCTAAATAACTGTAATTGACTCGTGTCTAGCCTATCCTGCCTGGTCCAATGGTTTTGTCTGGCTTAGATTCTCTAGATTTTGTCGAGCTGATCAAGCCTTGATAGGTTCTGGTCTGGTTCTGGTCTGGTCTAACCCAGGTCTGGCCTCATCAGACTCTGGTCCGATCTAGCCCAAGTCTGGAGGCCTTTGTCTGGTCTAGATCAGGCTGACCTAGTTCTGGTTTGGCTCAAGTTTGGCCTGACTGAATGGCTTAGAATTAAAGTAGAATTTGACACTTTTTACTTACCGTAAATACTGTAATAGTACCCCACCGCCCTCTTACAGTCGCGTAGTCGCAAAAGTTTTTTAGTATTTCATTTTTTCTAAACGCCCGTACTTTCAAAAAATGCGTCTTTGGTACCAAAAAATAGCCTTGAATTCCAGCTATTTTTTGATACCTAAGCGCGCATTGTAGCATAAACCAGTGTCGAGAAAAACTCGTTCAAAGCTAGACTACGCAACACTCCGCACCGTCATTATGGGGGTGGAGTACTATTACAGTATTTACGGTAGGGTAAAATCTATTCAGAATTTTTTTTACTTGTATCGATCATTGATTTTGGCAAAGACTTCTTCATCTCGATTCAAAGCCACATACGAGTTAAGAGTCCAAGTACCACTAAAACTCTTTATCTTCAGAAAGTCTTTTCTCTTAGTTTTCATTCTAATCAAAACCAAATTTATTCAGAAAAGCTAACCAGACAAAAATGTAAAGAAAAAGCGCACAAAGTGTCGTGGGAATCGGCTTCATTTTCGGGATCCAATGTGATCTGAAAAGAAAAGTACAAAGTTTTTATGTACATGTGACTTGCCTACAAACGACCACATAGCGATAGAAAAACTGAAAGTTGAGGAAGCAGAGCAATTGCGAGAAACTGCTGCAATAGAGAATCATCAACCAATTGATTACTCTCTCATCTCGTAAAATCCACGTATAAGAGGACAGCATGTACGTTCGACCAAAGATGTACGGTGTCTAAAAGAAGATAATGTTAAAGCATTAGTATATACAAGGCTTTTAGTATACGTTGGTGAGAGTGGGACTCGAACTTGGAGACAAAAATTTAACAGATTCCGTAGTCTAGCAGACTAGTAGACTAGCAGACTAGCAGTCTAGCAGACTAGCAGTCTAGCAGACTAGCAGACTATCCACTAAACCATCGAAGCAGCTTATAAACGAGCCTTATAGCATCTTATAGAGTGACGGCTTTTTAAGAAGTTCAAAATTTAGATATCTTGTGTTTGTGAAGCGGTTTACAAACACTAAAACCGGTTTCGAGATCCCCATGGTTGGCTCTATAGGATGGACTTGGTCTTGAGCCAAAAAACCAGCATGACTCAATGCCTTTCCCTTGTAAGCCAGGTTCTGGCCTTGCTTCTGGTCTTATTTGACCCGGTTTCATTGACCTAGTTCAAAAAGCAAAAGCCAGGCTTGAATCTGGCTGTTGCTTACAGCTCTAGCATAGCTCTAAGGCTCAGCTATAGTTACAAATGAGCAGCTTTTAGATTTCTTGATTACTCACCGGTGCCACCACTACATCTAGAGTCGTGTAGGCAACATTGAACAGTGAATAAACAGCCAAGAGCCATGGATATTTCCCCATATTCTTTGGAGAATAGCGAAAGATTGTTAGCAATGCAATGGCATTTAATGTCACTGCCGTCAACCATTCAGCGAAATGGATAGCCCAGAGTCGAGAAGACATTTCCTTTAAAGAACAATGATCTAAACAAAGATCTGAACTGTCTAAGATGAGCTAAACAAAGATCTGAACTGTCTAAGAGGATCTAAACAATGGCCTGAACCGTCTAAGATGATCTAAACAATGAACTGAACTGTTTAAGATGATCTAAACAAGGAATTGAACTGTCTAAGATGATCTAAACAATGGCCTGAACTGTCTAAGTTGATCTAAACAATGATCTGAACTGTCTAAGATGATCTAAACAAAGATCTGAACTATCCAAACTATCAGTTTTATCTTAGTCTTGGTTAAAATGAAAATCACATATTGTGAACTTTTGTCTTATTGAATTTGATCTTTAATCTAAACTCGAATTTAAACCATTGTTGGTATTGAATGAAATAAAACAATGAATCTAACAATAGAAATGCAAATTCCTAATCCTTTTCTCAACAACAATTGTTGTCCAAGTGTTCGTAATTTTTGACTTTGTTCAAGTTATAAATTGCGACGTTCAACACGTGTAAAACAAGGCTTAATTACAAGCTTTAGCATGTAATGAAAGCATTTATTTAAAAACAAATTCGAGTGAATCAATTTTCCATCAAACTTTAAGTCAAGACTATTGTGATTGTCAAAAGATTAGACAAGCATCAGAGTCAGAGCTCTTTGGCCAAAACAGACCAATTTTATAACGAAATAAGTTCTGTAAAGTGTAAAAACTTGCTGTAAAACCTTCTTTGTAAGTTTGTTGGTTGAATGTTGGTTCAATGAAAGCCAACTCTAAAAAATCACGTCCGGAAAATTTCCGCTTTTCTTTGAAGTCCGTTTGCTCGAGGATTTCCCACGAATCTATTCAAATTGTCCAGTGAAAAAGAAAATCTCTCACGGTTAACAGGATAAAACTACAACCAGCTTTATTATGAAAGTGTTTCCGTTATCGAGTTTTATTGTTCAAGAATTAGTGAATCAAAATACAAGTCTACTTCAAGAGTTTATCGGTTTGATCAGTTTAAACTTTAACTATCGGTTTGATCGGTTTAAACTTCAACCATTGGTTTGATCAGTTTAAACTTTAATTATCAGTTTGATCAGTTTAAACTTCAACCATCGGATTGATCAGTTTAAACTTTAACGATCGGTTGGATTGGTTTAAACTTTAACGATCGGTTGAATCGGTTTAAACTTTAACTATCGGTTCGATCAGTTTAAACTTCAACCACTGGTTTGATCAGTTTAAACTTTAATCATCGGTTTGATCGGTTTAAACTTTAGCGATCGGTTTGATCAGTTTAAACTTTAATCATCGGTTTGATCAGTTTAAGCTTTAACCATCAGTTTGATCGGTTTAAACTTTAATCATCGGTTTGATCAGTTTAAACTTCAACCACTGGTTTGATCAGTTTAAACCTCAACCATCAGTTTGATCGGTTTAAACTTCAACCATGGCTAAATCAATTGAGTAAAGAAAACTATGAGAGTATCAATATTTAAGATAATTTTGCAGAAGATAGAAACATAATTTCGATTTATTCGGAATCACTTTCTTTCTCGCATCCAAATTCTGCCAGAAAACCAGAAAAAGTTTGCTTTTACAGCGACTTTTATTAAATTTTCATTGCATGCATTGCATTCAATTCATTTGCATTTCATTCGTTGCATCGAATTGATTGAAAGTGTGAAATTTTGGAAAAAACGATCCGACGAAAAATCGACGAACTGCCATTCATACTTCCGGATTTCGCTAGAATGAATGTATTTTTACTATCCTTCTTGCAAATTGCTTTTTGTTTATCAGGTTGGCTCTGCTAGAGTTTTGTTTAAATACATTTTCATAAGAAAGTTCTAATTCTCTTAGTTAATCCCAGTTAACACCTTTTCAGTCGAGCGCCGAGATGTCAAAGCTAATAGTTGCATTAGAATACCACAACGATTTAACTTTCTTCGACTTTTCCGCAAAAGTAAGCTTTTGTATTAAACACTTTTATTATACGATCATATCTAAGAGTACTTTGAACAAAAAATATGAGTCGTTGGGTTAAAGTGATTTATTAGGTTGGTGAATTGAAAACTTTAAAGACTTTAAACTAAAATTTATTCAACATAAAACCATTAATTCATTCCAAATAATTTCCATTATTATTGACGACTTCTGTGTGGATGAGAACGATCTTTGACTTGGAGGGCCAATTCTTCTTCAGGGATTCATTCACCTTTTCCAACTGTTCACTGTATTTGATTGCATTAACGGTCGTCTTGCTACCCAGCAACTCCCAGTACACCACTCCCTCCATAGCTGCGGGACTTTGAACTAAAATTTCTTCATCATAAAACCATCAATTCATTCCAAATAATCTCCATTATTATTGACGACTTCTGCCCATTTTACAGGCAATTTACGAATTCCTCTTTCGTAGTAGGATTTTGGTTTGTGTGTGAGACAAGTGTGAGACTCAAAAATGGAGGACTGGAGATGTCCCAGTTTGAGCATTTTCTTCAAAAGAAACCCATTTTGGTGCCATTAGAAAAGTTGTAGAGAATCAAAAATTAGCCTTATAGCCAAATTTCCAAAAAGATACACTTAGTAGTTTCGCTTAAAATGCAAGTTTTGTGAAAATTCGTAAATTTGGCATTTCTTGAAAACCAGTTTTTGAATCGTTCTGAAAATTTGGATATAAGCTTAATTTTTGATTCTCTACAACTTTTCCATTGACACCAAAATTGGTTTCTTTTGAAGAAAGTGCTCAAACTGTCACACATGACAATAGCCGGCAGTTTTCAATTCACCAACCCAATAGGAACCGTGTTGGAATCGTATTGGAATCGTATTGGAGCCGTATTGGAATAAAATAGGAACCGTATTGGAATCGTAACAAAGAAAATGTCATAAAAACAAGGCTAGCGCGTCTTGTCGCCTATAATTCTGAAGCACCCTGTACAAGTTTTTCTAGGTGATGTGGCCATTAGCTGCTGCCAATAGGTTTCTTTTGAAGAAAGTGCTCAAACTGTCACATATGACAATAGCCGGCAGTTTTCAATTCACCAACCCAATAGTTCATTGCGATAATTTTCTAATTCATTCGCAATTCTAGTTCATTTTCGAAGGTTTTCTTGCTTTTTTTGAACTTTAAGACCAATATTTGGATAAATCTTTAAGTTAACTTTGAGATTAATGATGAAATTTGCCGATGACGATCAAATTAACAATGAGATTATTTTCAATTTGATCTTTCCAAAAGTTATTTCAGAAGTTGATTCTAGATTCTCTGAGATGTCCGATAAAAGATGAGACAAGAAGTTACTTCGAGAAAACCGTCTTTAAGCCCGATTCACCCAGAGAATTTAACCTCAAAACGAATTGGGATGAATTGTTCCGAATTTTCCCCTTAAAACTTCAAACACTTGTTCAAAAAGGTTTCGAAAAAATGGAAAGACTTTTCGGGGAAATTCTTGAACAAGTGATTCAGGAGAAAGAGAAAATTGCTGTTGGTAGAAACTTGTCAATTTTTGATGAAGGACGAGCTGCTTTAATCAAAGAATGGCCACACTTGATTAATCATCCACCTGAAGATTTGACTCAAGCTATTGCTTGTTTTAGTCTAAATCATCAACCATTCTTGGAAATGATTCAGCCTGTTGAAAGATCGGCTGAGAAGAAAAGGTTGGGGTTTGGCGTGAGAACTAATATCGATTTACTGCCATACACATTGTTGTTGGGGTATCAAGGAGTTGATTATAATGATGATGAATTACCGGAGAATGTGGCAATAAGGTGGGTAACTTGCTGACAACTGAAAGACGTAGTGCCAGGAGTGGACAGAAAGAATCAAAAGCCGAGAGCTTCAAATTTAGCTAAGCTTTTTCATTAGAACCGTTTACCGAATTAAAAAGCTCAACAAAGCCTGGCCTACTGGCTATGTTTATTAGTAAAACTAGGTAAAACAGTATCAGTAAAAGTTCTACTAGATTTCTCACTTGTTCTCACTTCAATCTCACTTGAAATTAGATTGTAAATGGCTTCAACTTCAAATTTAGCTAAGCTTTTCATTAGAACAGTTTACCGAATTAAAAAGTATTCAGAAAAGCTCTAGTTTTCATATAAAAAACGTTAGCTTTCTCAGTTTTGTCAATCAAACTTTGACTAACTAAAAATGAAATAAGAAACTGTGAAAAACTGAATCGTTTAAAGCTTTAAAAAGATAATACTTTGTAGTTTTGTACTTTGATACTTTGTACTTTGATACTTTGTACTTTGTAGATAATACTTTGTAGCTTTGTACCTGATTCATGAATAAATCGTTTAGAGTAGGGATGTTAAATGGAACACCAAAAGGCACTTACACTCTACTCATCTCTGGCACTAAACATGTGATTGAAGGAGCACCGGGTGTAGCTCTTTATCATGACAAAAAAATAACATTAATTGGTAAGCTTTAAAACTTTTAACCTTACAGACTTTTAGCTTACAGGCTTACAGGCCTTATTAGCCAAAGTCTTATTAACTTGCTTAGTCTTATTTTAGACAGCTAAAAGATCAGACTAAGCACTCTTAGTCTGATCTTTTAGCTGTCTAAAATAAGACTAAGCTAAGAACAACAATATCTTAGATTTTGCTAAGATTTTCTTGCTCTTAGCTACAATCCTTGTTTCCAGACAAAAAGACGAAGATCGCCTTCTTGGGCGCATTTATAAACGGCTCAAAGAAGCCGAACGTTGAGTGGGTGGTTATCGAAATTGATGGACAGAAGATTGTGATGTTCTTTGTAAGTTATTGTAGTTATTGTAGAAGTTTAATAGAGAAAAACTATTGTTATATTTGATCTAAAAAGTTTAGAATTAGAAAATAAGAAAATTCTGCTATCTTTCAGACAAATCAAGCGATCAAAAGTGGTGAAGAATTGTTTGTGAATTATGGAGAGGATTATGTGATTGATGATCCAATTGTTTGATTGTTGTTTTTGCTTTTCATTTGCTTAAGATTTGTAATTTGATTTGTATTCTATCGGTTATCATTTGGCTAAAGCATAAATAGTAAATACAAGCAATATTGTCATGATCATTGTCACCTTTTTGCAAAGAAAAAGCTATGATTGAAAGGAAAAGTTTGCTGGGAAAGGAGAGATAGCATCCTAAATTAGCAGGATTTTTGATCTTTGCAAAAATCGGTCTATTTTTGTCTTTTTTACAATTTCTAAAGAATCGTTTCCTGCAGCTTTTTTCTAAATTGCTAAATTGAGAAACGAGTAATGAGGCTACGTGTTGGAGCTGTGAGCTGCTCCTCTGCAGAAGTACTGAAACTTTGAAGTTGGCAATCGTGGAGTTGCTCCTCTGCAGAAGTACTGAAAACTCTTTGTTTTCTTCATTAGACTGTAGTTTACAATCATTAAGAATTGAAATGCTGACCATTGGATTTACTAAACTTTTCCTTTTTCTTCGATTTACAGCTTTGACAAACGGGATTTAAACCAAAGATGAGTTTTAAACTTTTAACCGAAAGTTTCTATTCAATTCGATATTAAAACTTGCATCATTGACTTGATTCCAAACGGTTTAGAGCTTTGTTGAGTAGCTTTGATGAACTTAATGATTGTAAACTACAGTCTAATAAAGAAAACAAAGAGTTTTCAGCACAGGGCCTTCCTTGCCACTATAAAGCGATACTTGACGGACATTACAAATGGTTTGTTTTGATTGATTAAAGCTTTCCTAAAAGAACCACTTGGATACCGTACCAGCAGTTTTATTAAGTTCAAATAGAGGTAGCTTTTTAGCGTAAAAACTGCAGGGTTGTCCAGAATTACGGGGACTAAAGGACTTGAGACTTGAGACTTGAGAATTGAGACTTGAGACTAAAGAACTTACATTAAAATGATACCATGACAGCAAAAATTTATTTTGATGAAATAATTTAACATGAAAATTTACTTGTTTTCAAAAAGAACTCTCTTGGCGGCAAGACAGACTTGAAGGGAACGCGTCCACAGTGGCGAGAAGGGTCGTTGTTGTTGTTGGACAACCGAGAAGGGTTGTTGTTGTTTTTGGACAACCGAGAAGGGTCGTTGTTGTTGTTGGACAACCGAGAAGGGTTGTTGTTGTTTTTGGACAACCGAGAAGGGTCGTTGTTGTTGTTGGACAACCGAGAAGGGTTGTTGTTGTTTTTGGACAACCGAGAAGAGTTGTTGTTGTTGTTGGACAACCGAGAAGGGTCGTTGTTGTTGTTGGACAACCGAGAAGGTTGTCCAGCTCGTTTTATTTCAAAAAGAGCAAACAGAGATGAAAGATTCAAAGTTTTCTTTATCATTTAACACTTGGAAAAAGAAAACTTTAGAAGAAATCGTTATATAGCTTTCATTAGGATCAACAACCTCAGCTTCATTTGAAAAGAGTTTATTCCAATTTCATTGCTCACATCGATCTCGAGATAACAATCGAAATCGTCGGCGTTTTGTATAAGCCTTTAAAAATTCCTAAAACCAACTCTTTTTCAATTTCCCAAATCATTCGAAACCAATTTTATGAAGCCCCATAAAGCAAAAACAATTTTTGATAAATCTTTTTGTAAATTCTCGATATGGTTGATACAGAAATAAAACAGATAAAGTGTTGAAGAGACCGTGTTGAGCAATGAAAAGAGTCAGAATTGGGCAGTATTCTGGAAAGTGTTTGATCGATTGGTTGAAGTGATTGGTAAAATCTATCTAATCAATGAAAAAGTTCGTATTAAGCAATGAAAAGAGTCAGAATTGGGCAGTATTCTGGAAACTGGTTGATCGATTGGATAAAGTGATCGGTAAAATCTATCTAATCTAACACTGTGTTTTCTTTAGTTCGTATTAAGCAATGAAAAGAGTCAGAATTGGGCAGTATTCTGGAAAGTGTTGATCGATTGGATAAAGTGATCGGTAAAATCTATCTAATCTGTGTTTCCTTTATTTTCATTAAAGTCAAGTCGTCGATGATTTCGAATGCGACTCACTCGCATAAACAGTCGTCTTCAACGCAACAATCAGAATCCCGATTTGCCAAGGAACAATGAGGGTGACCATCGGGATGAATACCTTGATTGACAATTGAGTAGCTTGAATGAATTAGAAAGAAAAATAACAGC